AGCAAGTGCTTATTCTACTGAGCCATCTCCCCAGGCCTAAGCTTAACTTCTAAGACACCCCTTGCTCTTGAGAACACAGTGTGTTTCCATGGGACAGTGCACTGAACTGAAATGCTCTGATTTTAAGTTTTTTTCCTTTAATCATAAAAAAATTTCTGAGTTTCAGGCTATATAATGAGATCCTGAGTTAAAAAGAAAGTTTTAAAAAAGAATATTGTATCCAGCCAAGTTAATACTTGAACATCAGGGTATAAAAAGACTGGAAATTATGCCACACAAAGACTTACACTGGAAGTATCTGGTTTTTTCGGTTTGGTTTGGTTTGGGTTTGTTTTTTTTTTTTTGGCAGAACCAGGGATTGAACTCAGGCCCTTGCACTTGCCAGGGAAGTGCTTATTCTACTGAGCCATCTCCCTGGCCCTGGAAGTATCTATATGGAAGTAGTAATCAAATAAGAAAAAATAAACCCAAGAAATGTTACAAAAAATATAGAAAGGTGTGGTTGTGCACCTTTGTAATCCCAGCACTCAGGAGGCTGAGACAAAAGGATCACTGAATTTGAGGCCAGCCAGGGCTACAAAGTGAGTTCAAGGCCAGATTGAACTATGTGGTGAAACCCTGTTTCTAAATAAATAAATATAGGGGCTGGGGAGATAGCTCAGTAGAATAAGTGCTTGCCTGGCAAGCGCAGGGTCCTGAGTTCAATCCCCAGGTCCCACTAATGAATAAATAAATGAAGTATTAAAATGAAAACTGAAAGAAAAATAGAAGACAAAAATCCATCAATATGACACAGCAGCCTAAATTTCTTGTCAAGAGGAAAAAACAGATACCATTTTGAATGCAATAAAAGAAAAATGGATTTGTATAGCAAAATAACACTAATGGAAATTGTTAAAGTAACTTCCTAGATATAAGTCCAGGGCTGGGGGGATAGCTCAGTGGCTTAAGCACCTGTCTGGCAAGCACAAGGTTCTGAGTTCAATCCCTGGACCAAAAAAAAAAAAAAAAAAAAGACAGAAGTCCCTACGTATCAATGATATTAGTAACCATGAGCAGGCTGTATCATCAGATCTTTCAAAATCGTCCGGTGATGTCTAAGGATAAGGATATGGAAATATTGAAAGTAAGAAAAAGTGTTTTTACTCATCAGACAAATACTTCCCAAAAGAAAGTTGAATCTACTATATAGAACCGGAGCAAAAAAATAAAATAAAAATTGAGGCCAGAGAGATAGCTCAGTGGAATAAGCGCTTCCCTGCCAAGAGCAAGGGCCTGAGTTCAATCCCTGGTTCCGCCAAACAATTGGTTTGCAAACTCCACGTGGGGTGACCAACACAGCTGCGGCCCCCTTTTCCGGAATCACGGGACGAACTGAGTTGTGAACCGGGGCCGGCCCTGGTAAGTCTTTAGGGTAAGGCCACCACTGGGGCCTGAAGGCTCAGCTCTGTAAGACTGTAAATATATTAACAACACTGCCCAAAAGCCTGTGACCCAGGACAGGCGGGACTGGTGCCGGGCTTCAGCCGCCTCTCCGCCCCCGCAGGTGGGCGGCAGCAGCATCGGCTGGGCGCTCGGCTACATGCTCAGCCTCACCAACCAGATCCCGGCCGTCGGCGCGCTGGTCCGCCTGTCCATCCCGCCCGCCGCCTTCGCGGGCCTGCTCGCCCTCTTCGCGGCCACCGCCCTGCTGAGTGTGGCCTTCCTGGCCTTCCTGTGCGCCTCCTCGGCCAGGCCCGCGAAGCGCTCGGAGCGCGCCCTGGAGCCCGCCGCGGACACCGACTGAGCCCGCCCGCCCGAGGCCCGAGACGCGCGGCGGCGCAGCAGCATGGTGACCCAGGCTGAGTTCTCCTGCCTTCCTCGGTGTCCCGTTTTCTTTTAAACCAGGGATTGGACTCAGGTTCTTGCGCTTGCCAGGGAAGCGCTTATTCCACCAGGCCATCTCCCCGGTGTCCCTTGTGACAGGACAGATGCCCGTAAGTAAACAGCAACACCCAATGGCAGCACTCTCAGGGGCTCCTCCGAGACCTGCCCAGACTGGGCCAGCAGCCAGCGTGGGCCGGGGCACAGCGAGCGGTGAGGGCAGGGTCCGGGCCCTCTTCCATCAGGACCTGTGGCAGAGACCACTGGGTCCTGAAGCTGCCTTGGGCTGGCAGCACCCACTGAGCACCTGCAGGGCATGCTGGGCCCGGGGCAACTCGCCCCTCATACACGCACGCTCCAAGGGTAACCTGGCCCCGGACATGCTCAACCCCAGGACATGCTGGCCCCCAGGATTTGCTTACCAGTCACCTTCTAGGTCCAAAGCCACCCTGCAGAACAGCCTGGGACTCCACAGAGAAAAAAGCAAGCTGTGGGGACATTGGCCACCAGAGTGGATGAGAAGGGACTGGTGGGGCAGGCGGTGTGACGGAGCTGAAAAGCAACTTCCGGGTTGCTGTTTAGCAGCTGTGGACTGAATAAAGACCCCCGTCTGACTTGCACTGTGTGCGAACTCATGCCGCTGTTCCTGAGGACTCCAGGCTATTTCCCCAGGAGCTGAGTGAATGGAGAGGCACAGGCAGGGCACCACCTCATTCCAGAGTTCAGAGCGCTTTCACTTGGTTAAAGCGCAGCTCCTGGCAGAGGTCATCAGGGCGTGTGTGACTGCCAACTGGGCCCTCAATCCTTGCTCTCAACAGGTGCCCTTCGAGGTCCAGTTCTACAGTGTACACACACACACACACACCACAGGCCATCTCTCTCCAGAACCACTCTTGCAGAATAAGTCTCATACATTCTCATGTCTGTCTTCACGTGTGCAGCTGCTTTCCAAATCAGAGTATTCAACCCTGTCATACATCACTCACTCACTAAACAGACTCAAAGAAACACCTCACACTTGCAATTGGGATTTTGAATTTGGGTTAACACTATGAACAATTTTCTCAATCTATTGCCTGGGTTGTTTCCATAAGTGACAGAGGGTCAGGCAGTGTCAAAGGATGACAGCACCTGGATCACCAACAGTGCGGGCAGGCCCTCGCCAAGGTCTCCGGCCCACCCGGGGCTCCTGGGTTTCTGATGCAAGTGCAGTCCCCTCAGGTACAGACTGTGATGTCGGGGTCTAAGGGATGTCTCGGTGACCAAGGTGAGCAGCTCTCCGAGATTCCCCCTGGCACCTGCTCCCACCAGCACGCCTGTGGATTTCCCTAGCCACGCAGTTACTGGGCAGAGGATTTTCCAAGAGTAATGATTATCAGTCCACCTCCAAGTGGAGGCCTCAGCTCTGCAGCCCTGGCCTCATCGCATGAGCTCTCCCACAGTAGGCCTTTTCTCCAGAAGCGGAAGTCAGGTTCAAGCATAAAAGGATTCCTCATGCTGCAGCCAGCTGGGAGCTGGAGAGGAGCATGTGAAATCGGACAGAGAAGGCCAGGTGTGGTGGTGCACAACTGGCATTGCAGCACCCTGGGAGGCTGAGGCAGGAGGACTGCTCTGAATTCAAGGCCAGCCTAGGTTACACAGTGAGACCCTGTCTCAAAAATAACCCTGGTGGCAGAGGCTGGAGATGTAGCTCAGCATGAGTACCCCAGGAGAGAGACAGAGAAAATGAGGGGAGAAGAGGGCAGCAGGGCAAGGGCAGGGTCCAAGAGCCACTTCAGGAGCTGGGTGCTACTGCCTGATCGGCTGCTACACAGCTCCCTCTGTTCTGCATGGCAAGGCACTGGATTCTGCTGACAGCTGGGCAACCCTGCCTCTCCCACAGGTTCTAGACGGTGTCCACCAAGGCAAGTGCATTCACAGGCGACCCCTGATCCCAGCCTGGGACACGCTTGGAAGCCACCTGAGCCTGCCCACTGCAGCCCAAGGAAACGAAAGGCGAGCAGGAGTGCTATTCAGAGTCTCAAGCAGGGACTCAGGAAAGGGACACAGCTGTGGGCAGGAGCCCCAGGCCCAGCTAGAGCCCGTGCTGCAGCCGAGCCCTGGGGAGAGACGCGCTGGGAAAGCACACAGGTGTCTGCTCCTTAGATGGGAGCTGGGAGCAAGGCCTGGCAGCCTGGGTGGGGCAGGACTGCAGGCAGCCAGGGGCTTGGCCTGGGCATCAACAGTCTGACACCATGCTCACACAGACATCCAGGTTGCAGAAGAATGAGGAACCATGGGTCCCTGTGTGGAGAAAAAAGTGAAACTCAGGTCCTTCCTATTTGCAAGAACTATGTCCAGAGGCTAGGGAGATGGCTCAGTAGAATAAGCACTTGCCTGGCAAGTGCAAGGGCCTGAGTTCAATTCCTGCTTCTGGAAAAAAGAAAAAAAAAAAAAAAATGAACCATGTCCAGGTCCAGCAGAGGCCGTGGTATGAAAGATAAGCTCTACAGTTATATTCTCTCAGAAGAGAATACAGGAGAATCTCATAGGCCATTCAATCTCTTGGAGCTTTGATTCCTCATGGATAAAAACAGGACAGTGTCTACCTCACAGATGGGTAAGAGCAATGTCACTGAGCAGCACTCCTGGCACACAGCACATCCCGGGAGTCTCTCCTCCCTCGCTGGCCTTCGTCCCCAGCACAGCACACACACCACAGGCCTGGCCTGCCCAGGGCCGAGGCTGCAGCTAGAGTTTGACACAGTCCTTCCTCAGGGACCTGGGCCTTGACGGCCCTCTGCTGGCACTGGGAGAAAACCCTTCCAGGCTGAGTCTGAGTTCTGTTTTGCTTATTCCTAAAGGTGCTGGGGAAAAAAATCATTAGTTCAAAAATACCTAGCCTTGCACACATGAAGCTGGGCTGCACGCCCTGCAGAGAAGTTATCAATGTGTTCTTTCTGTGCATCTGGTGAGCTATACGATGTTTTAGGACATGGGACTACCAGGAATGCCTGTGAGCTTTTGCTATGATGAAGTAATGTGCGTGGGGTTTTTGTTTTGGCGGAACCGGGGATTGAACTCAGGCCCTTGCACTTGCCAGGCAAGCGCTTATTCTGCTGAGCCATCTCCCCGGCCCCTGTGTGTGTGGACTTTTTGCAAGAAAACTTAGCTTTGCTTGCAAGCTGCTCCTGGATGAAGACCCCAGCAGCCCTTCCATCCCATCTGTCTTCATGTCTGTGGACCCAAGACCCAAACCCAGATGACCTGCAGACTCCATGCAACCTTGGAAACCCCCACACCCTGCGTTATAAAGAGAAGTGAGCCAGTCACTTCTGAACTACACACAGACACAAAGGACCTAGAGCTGCCAAGAATGTTTCAGAGCTAGCACCACCTCTGCATGCAGAAAGCTATACAGCTGCGGTTATGGCACAATCCAGAAAGTTCCGAATGACCCAGAGAAGAATAAAAGCCCAACTGTGATGGCCACGAGTGACATGCGACTTGGCAGCACAGGGGCAGGACTTGGAGCACCGAGAACAGCACAACTGATGCTCAGGCATCCTGTCAGACTGGTGCCAACAGGGACGGTGTGTATCAAACGCTCAGTGTGTGCAGGCAGGAAAGGCCAGCCACGTCCACAGCACTGGCGCCCCACAGTGGCTGCATGGAGGGCAAGGGGATTAAGAAAGAGGGGTACATGGGGCATGAGTGTCCTGCTGTGCACATGAGGCCATGCACACTTGGAAACTCATTCACATGTGGGCTCGAGGTCTGTGCAGAGTGCCTTAGTTTTATTGTACTTTAAAGGAGAGTGCTTGGGCTGGAGAGATGGCTCAGTGGTCTAAAGCACCTACTTAGAAAAAACCTGGCAAAACAAAAGGGACCGCGGTTCGATCCCCCAGCACCACATGCCAGCCAGCCCGCCCCCTGGTGGGCTGAGCTGGCCACACACACACACACACTAAATAAATGTTAAAAAAGAAAAAAAGAAAAAAAAATAAAGGAGAGTGCTTTTCTAGGACAGATGGACAGATAACACTGGAAGAGTGGTACATGGATGAGAACTTCCAGGTGAGGAGTTTGTGTATGAAGCCTACTTTCTGTATAAGCCAAGCAGGCTTTTTTTTTTTTTTTTTTAATTTGCATTTTAAAAACTTTTATTGGACCCAACAAGATAGCTCAGCAGACTAAGCACCTGCTTAGGCCAAGTGCAGGGACTGGGATTCAATCCTCAGCACCACATGCTGTGCCAGCCCCGGTCCCGGGTGCGCTGAGCTAGCCACCAAGTCTGGGCATGGTGGCACACACCCGTAATCTCAGCACTGGGGAGGCTGGAAACAGGAGGGTCACTATGAGTCCGAGCTATGTGGTGAGACCCTGTACCAAATACATTTAAAAAAAAAAAAAAGTATTGGTAAACTTTTTTTTTTTTTTTTTCAGTACCAGGGATTAAACTCAGGACCCTGTGCTTGCCAGGCAAGTGCTTATTCTACTGAGCCATCTCCTCGGCCCCCAAAATCTAGCTCGTGTCTCAGGCCAAGGGCCTCAGCTACTGATTTTTTTTTTTTTTTTTTTTTGTGGTACAGGGAATCAAACTCAGGACCTTGCACTTGCCAGGCAGGCACTTAAGCCGCTGAGCTCTCTCCCCTGTACTGGCAAACTTCAGGTACATATAATGATCACACCCATAGGGAATTTCACCTGTACATGTTGCCTCTTTCCTTTCCTGTTCCCCTCCCCTTCCTTCTACCTCTCTTCCTCGCGTCCATTTTGTCCCTATTCTCTTTTGCAGGTTTTGGCAATGTTACCTAATTTCTTCTAAGCCAGGTGTGGAGGCACACACCTATAATCCCAGCACTCAGGAGGTTGAGGGAGGACTGCCAAGGCCAACCTGGGCTCCATAGCAAGTTTGAAGCCTACCCTGAACTACATAGCTGAGACCTTGTCTCAAAAAAACAGA